GGAACATGGGCGCCTGCTGTGACCGCCGTGGCCCTGCAGGGGTTCAAGTGACACCGGCCGATGTTCAGGCCTCCAGGCAGTCACAGCACCTCTGAGCTGGCCAAAGTGGGTGCCCGGCACTGAGCCTGCTGCCCGTGGCCACAGCTTCTGTGCCCAGTCCCGCCTGAGGACACATCTGAAACTGAGACCTGGCCAACCTGCTGGATCCCAGCAATCTGTGCCTCGGAAGAAAAGGGCTCATTCAGGCAGGCCCCTTGTCTCCGGTGTCTGTCTCCTGTGTCCACACACACACACGGGCATGAGAATGGCGGGTCCTACAAGCACAAGCATCTGGGTCTAACTGCTGACCATCGATGCTGCTAAATCATCAGGCTGCCCTGAGGACAGCGGGAGCCCCGTGGACACCGACATGTAGAGAGCATGCATGCATGCTCAGTCACTTCAGTCGTGTCCAACTCTTTGTGACCCTGTGAACTGTAGCCTGCCAGGCTCCTCTGTCCGTGGGATTCTCCAGGCAAGAATACTGGAATGATTTGCCATGCCCTCCTCCAGGGGATCTTCCTGGCCCAGGAATCAAACCTATATCTCCTGCAGGTCTTGCATTGCAGGCAGATTCTTTGCCGCTGAGCCACCTGGGAAGCCAGGACATGTAGAGTCCAGAGCCCAAATGTGGCCCACACAGGCACACACATACAGACACACACACACCTAGAATCACACTTCACTGCTCCTCAGCTCTGACCTGAGGTCCCAGGGGTCCTTCTACATGCTGGATGCAGTGAGAGATGCACAGAATCTGGGAAAAGTTCCTACAGGCAGGCAGGGGTGCAAGAGGGCACTAGGGGGGCTGGGGAGTGGGAGGGAGGGATGTGACCCACCTCCTCTCTGCCCTTCCTCCCAGAGCCCTGCCTTCATCACCTCTCACTGTCCACCCCTGCTCCCAGTAGTGAAAAGACAGGCTCTTCTGTCCATGAAATTTTTTCAGGCAAGAATACTAGAGTGGGTTGCCATTCCCTTCTCCAGGGGATCTTCCCGACCCAGGGACTGATCCTGGGTCTCCTGCATTGCAGGCAGATTCTTTACCATCGGAGCCACCAGGGAAGGGCTGGTTCATATCCCAGCTCTGCCACTTCCCCTGTAAGTGATCTTAATAAATGTCACTACAGCACGCTGTGCCTCAGTCTCCTCCTCTGTAAAATGGGGATTATAACAGTCCCCTTCCAGAGCTGCTGGAAGGATCACATGAATGAATATTTGAGAAAGGTTTGGCAGAGTGCCTGGCACTCAGACAGTGCTATAAAAGGGTTTGTTAAATAAAATAAATAAATCATGATATCCACGGGGCTTTCTTTGATCCTTTCACAGTGGACGCTCCCAGGGTGGGCCCCTCTCCTTCTCCAGCCCCTGGAATGGGAGCCCCGAGGGCAGGGCAGGAACTGCTCGCCTCTCCCAGGGGCTAGAATAGCCTGAGCTCTGACACTCTCTGCTTCTGTGCATGGCTGGCCTCTCTCCTCTCTGCCGGCGCAGCTCCCTGCAGCTGTGTCTTGTCTGCCCCCCTTCCCCAGATCTTGAGCTACCTAAAGCCAGGACCTGCAATCTCTCTGAGCCCCACCATCCATCATCAGTCTGGGTTCCAGTAACATGTCACCACTGGGAAGCACCCTGGCTCCACCATGACATGTTCTTTCCCTCCAAGATTTTGCTCCTGAAGCTCCTGCTACCTGAAATACCCTCCAACCCCAGCCCCCCATCTCCCAACTGAAAGCCTTCCTTGACCCCCATGCTGGTCCAGGCACCTGCCTCTTCTTTGTTTCATAACATCCTCTACCTACACCCATCAGGGCACCTATCTGCAGACTAGGTCCAGGCCAGGCTGCTCCACTGGGCTGTGGGTTCCTCCAGGCAGACACACAGTAGGTATCCTACCCAGGCCTGTAGCTTCTCCTAGCCCAGAACCGGGCACAGAGAAAGTTCTTGTTATGCTCAGCATGGCCCAGCACCAGGTAGATCTCAGGAGGGTCCTCTCTCAGGAAAGCATCCCATAGGGAATGTCCTCAGGCCCCCTCTCTGGGTCAGGATGAGCCTGACAAGAGCAGTCAGGGCCAACCAGCCCATGCTCAGCCTTCAAGGGGCTATGGGGCCACCCAGGGAGAAACAAGAGGCCAGGAGAAGCTGCTTCCAGAAAAAGGCATTATTGAAGGAAACCAGTGCTGGTTGGGGGTTGGTTGCTATAGAAACAGGTCCTAACTATCTCCCAAACTGTTGTATGCACCACTGATGAGCTCGTGTGCTGGACTGTTTCAGGGGACATGTCGGGCACCCCAGAAATGCCTGCGTGCTGGGGTACTCAGCACCTGAAGCCCAGATCCTAGAGGATCCAGAAGGAATACAGTCTCCAGGGCACCCAGGTGGCTCCATCAGTCCAGAGGTGAAATCAAGGATTGAGGCTGAGACTCCAGGCTGCAGAATTTTCCTCAGACTAGCAACGGCCCACCCCTGACCTCAACCACAGCCTAACCTTGAGCTGTCCACAGATCAAGTCACAATCCCAATCACAGGATAACTGGGACCCAATCCCAAACAGGCCATGAGGCTGACCACAGGCCACGCCACAAACTAAGCCTTGACCCAACCGCACATTCAGCAACGACTCAAAAAAAAAAAAAAGCAATGCCTCTAGCCACCAACTGCGGCCTGACTCTGGCCATAAACAGCACTGGGCACCATCAAGGGGCTGTAGCATATAACTTCAAGGCTATTTTTGCAGCTAACACTAAATTCTGTGCGGCATTTTCCACCACTGCCAGGGCTTTGCAGGCACTTCCTGTGGTCCCCAGGACAGCCCAGTAAGGTCAGTTCAGAGGAGCTCTGCTCCCTGTTTGTGATGACAAAGGGAGAAGCTCAGATGAAGTCACACTCCATGCCCGGGGGTGCCTGTGGGGCAGTTGGCTGGCCTGGGGGTGGGATGACAACCCCAGTCTCCCCAGCAGGACACAGTTGGCCCAACTCATTGCTCTGGGGGGGAAAAATGTGGTTTTTGAAGACCTGCTGGTGTCTCATAAATATGCCACTTAAAAACCCATTAATTACTTTATTTAGGAGATAATTAGTGATTAATAGCTTTGGCTATCTATTGTACTTTCGTTTTGCTCTGCCAATTCGACTCCCAACAGTTTTGAGTTATTTGGAACAATTCTCTCCAGCCCCAGATGTCCCTGCTCTGTCCCACCAGACTCTTGCTCCATACCGGAGAAGCTTTCTCCTGCCTCTAACGGGAGCTCCCAGTGCCCCTGCCAATTCACCACTGATGCCTCTGCCACCTGCAGGCTCCTCAGAAGGGCAGAGGAGAGGGGAGGGGAGGCCCAAAAACCAGGACAGAGGGGCCCCTTTGGATGACCCCAGGACCCGCAGTGTGGACCAGGGAACAGAGACCAGGAGGGACCCAGGCATCCAACCAGGGGGTGGGGAGGCCAGATTAGGGGTGGAGGTTGTCATAGACTCAACAAAGGATGCTGGGGGCTCCTTTAAAAGCCCCCCCCACCCGCCACCTCAGTGAGCTGGCCAGCTTGTTGGTAAGGTCACCAAAGGCTGCCATCAGTTTGAATGGGGCAGCAGCCAGGAGAGTGGCCCCCACCAGCCAAGGCTGAGGTGACTCCACGGGACCCTTGGTGCCCCCTGCTATTCTGGGGTGACTATAGCACAGGGAGGGGGCCCAAGGGGGCCTCTGCCCCAAAGGTGGCTTTGCATTTGGTGCCCAATCACAGCACCAGGGAGTTGCCAGCCGGGACCCCGCAGGTGGGGCTGTGGAATGCTCTCCACACCGCTGCAGTTTACACTGTACAAGAAAGAAACAAAAAGGCAGCAAGGGATAAACACCACCACCCCCCCCCCACTGGGCAGTAATGGGAAGGCTGAAAATAGCTCTTTTTACCACAAGGGATGATTCCAGAGTCGGTCAGCTGAGACCAGCTTCACGGGAGGTGGGAAGTCGGGGGATGAGAAGGGAACAGGAGGCCAAAAGGAGCTCTGATCCAGACAGCAGTGAGCTGAACCACTCGGGAGCCGTCCAGGGAAGGTCAGAGGTGTCTGAGGGATGGGTGGGGGGCCGCAGCCACTCCAAACCCCCTGAAGACAGGCTCACGGAACAGCTGCAGCCCCTGGAGCCTGAGCCCAGAGCTCGCACACCTAGATCCGTCCCTGAGGAGGTCAGGAGCTCTGCAAACACTGCGCAAGCAAACACAGCATCAGCGGCAGACGGCTCGGAAGAGGCCTCTCCGATCCACCAGAACTCCGTGCCCCTCCCAGACACAGAGCCCGACGTGTTTCTATTTTTGCTTTCAACCCTTGTTTGGCATCCCCGGCTAACAGACGGCCACTTCCCTCCCTCCGGAATAACAGGTCATCTGGGAAGGGGGAACACCTCCTCCCTGGCCTCCCCAGCCCTAGGTCTGCAAATTAACAGGCTGACCATCCAAAAGGAAGATGAGACTCCAGACAGGCACACGCACCATGCCCCTGCCAGGATACCTGGAGAGAAGAGCTTAATGCCCCTGGACTCTGACTTCCAGAGACAGATTCATTAGCACCTGCCCACCCGCCCCACCACCAGCTCTCAGCCCTGGCAGCCCCACAGCCACAAAACCTTCCCTGAAGGTCCTGAATCCACCCCACGGACAGGTCACAGCCCAAGCCCCTGCAGCCCCTCCCCTGGTCTCCAACCAAGCCCTGATATGGCCATGCCTGCTTTCAGCCTGGCCCCAGCTTGAGCTGTGGTCCCATCCACAACTGAACCTCATAAAATGCCACCCTGGAGAGAGCCTGGAGGTGGTAGGGTGGGGGCTCCCCTGCAGGGAGCCGGTTCCCACCCCAAAGCCTCTGACAGGCAGGGGGCACCCCACACACGTACCCCCAGAGGGCTGGTGGCCACGCAGCTGTGCAGGCCCCCGCAGGCAGGCAGACGCGGGGCCCTGGAGGTGGCATTTACCTCCTGCGTGACTCACCAAGGCGCCCATTCGTTTGCAAAAGGGGTGCCGAGTAGCATTTTCCTTCTCTTCAGAAAACAAGAATTTTAAAAGAGGGAGTATAAAGAGGTTTGAGGGAGTGGGTGGGGAGCTCAGATCCCATTTGATTTCCAAACTCATTTGTTATGCATTCTCTCCTCCCCGCTCCCACCCCCAGCCCTTTCCCTGGGGGCCCTGGCCACCCCTTTCCACGAAGCTCCTGGTTGCAGATGTGGTGGTAGGCTGGGGTCCTGGGACCCCCAGGAGGAGGTACTCTCCAAATGCCTGTCCTTGGTTCCCCATCTGTCCTCCCATCCCCACCAGCCTCTGGGAGGGTCCCCATGAGGAGGGAGATGGACGGAGGTAAGGGGCCGAAAGGCACGGTAAAGCCACAGGAGAGAGGCTGAGAAGGAAGAGAGTAGTGTTTGAGCTAGAGCAAAGTCAGAGCTGCCCTGTGCCCACAACTCTTTCCTTCTCATTCCCCTTTTACAGGCGAGAGAACTGAGGCCCAGAGGGGCAGTTCAAGGGCAACCAGTGACAGAGCCGGGTCTGTTCTTTGTTACACAGTCAAATTCCTAGGAATGCTGAATCCAAGAGAAGAGACATAAGTTCTAATACCAGCTCTGCCTCTAACTTCATATGTGACCCTGGAATCAGATACTTAACCATTCTGGGCCTCAGTTTTCTCATCCATGAAATGGGAATGACATCAGCCCTACTTCAAAGAGATGCTGGCATGTGTTGGATAGGAAAGCATGTTGACTGCTATCCAAAATGAGCCACATTGTTCCTAGAATGCTAATCACTGACCCTCTCCCAAGCCTGGAATCCCAGGGAATTTCTAGGAGGCACCCAGATCGAAAAGAAGCCCCCAGTCCTCAAGGCCTCACTGGTCTTGGGAGTTCACAGCCTCTGTTCTTAAAGACACCAGAGCTCAGAGAAAAACCTTTTGCCTTTTTGGCCTTGATCTCCCACCTGCACAATTAACAGGCAGGACAGGAAGATCTCCAAGACTCTTCTAGCCATGAACTATCACTGTCCACTAAGACATACATGAGAAAGCATCACACATTCTGGCCAGTCTGACACAGACAGGGCCCCAGAAAAGGGGGTCTAGCCATGTCCTCAGACTCTGTGTGCTACCACTGGACTCCCAAACTCTAGCCAAGACCCCCACCAGGGTTTATGGGCCCAGGATCACGTGCTCGTTGTGGGACTCTATTTTACGAACTGTGCTGTTGACTCACCACCCCACACACCTCACCACAGGCAGGGCTAAGAGGCACCAAAGGGTCTCAAGCTGGGGCCTGCTGGGACCTGCCAGGTCGACTGCTAGGACAGGTAACTCAGCAGAGGAACCAGAGGCAGGCCCAAGCTCCAGCACTTCTACGGGCTGCACAGGAGGTCGCTGAGGCTTCCTGGAGGCAGAGCTTTAGAGGGGCTGTGAGTTGGGGCACTGGTGTCTGATTTGCCCCTAGCCATCTCCTTAGGGCCTTCCCAGGTGGCCGGAGTGGTAAAGAACCCACCTGCCAAAGCAGGAGACGTAAGAGAAATGGGATCGATCCCTGGGTCCGGAAGATCCCCTGGAGTAGAAAATGGCAACCCACTCCAGTATCCTTGCCTGGAGAATCGCATGGACCATGGAGCCTGGCAGACTGCAGTCCATGGGGTCACACAGAGAAAGACATAACTGAAGTGACTGAGCAAGCATGCATGGCTCCCTAGGAACGGCAAAGGTGCATTTGCCGTCTCCATGTAGAATCATGAGGCCCTTCGGCAGATACACAGCAAAGCCATCCTGGTACTCCAGGCTCGGGAGTTTCTGAGTGGTGCCTCAAATCTCCTGGCTCTTCCCCAAAGTCCTGAGACTCCCAGAGCTGGTCCCTTTCCCAAGTTCCAAAACATTCTGTCCTCTGAGGGATCCGGCCACCTGCCCCACCCCCATCCCCCCATACACACCACCCGGGGACCACAAATCAGAGGCCCAGGAGGAGGTCTGACTTTGGGATGGTGAGAGGGCAGCCGACACAGCAGAACTGGATTCAAACCAAAACTCTGGAGACACAGGCTCTGGGCCCGAATCTGCCACCACCTTTTTCCACTGGGCCCTCCTCCCCAGGCCTCAGTGTCAGCCCTGGGCGAACGTTTTGAACATGAGTTTCTGAAGGCGTGCCCCCAGCTCTGCTCCTAAAGGATCAGTATTTTACTGACTCAAATTACGGGTTTGATACACTCCAGCCTGCTGGCTCCTCCCCAACACCTGGGAGCAAGTAAACTGGTTCCTCCAGCCTGGAAGAAGGCCCAGCCCTAGAGCCCCCACCCGGCCTCTCCAGACGGCGGCACTGGCCCAACCAGAGAGGTACAAAAACCTTCCTGGCTCCTGCCCGGCGGTGGGGGCCTTCCACTTGCCCTGCCCCCGGGGTTGACATGCCTGCCAACCTGCTAAGGCCAGAGGGGCATAGGGAGGAAGGGAGGGGCCCAGTGGCTGGCAGGAACCAGCGCAAACCCTTCCCTACTGAGCCCTGCCTGGCTGGCCTCTCTCTCTGCCCTCCCAGGAGGGATCTGTCAAAACACCCAAACCTTACGCATCCCTCCCATCTTCCATAGTCTCCAGAGTTTCCCGCAGCCCTCTGTGTCCCTCCAGGAACCTTCTCCCCAGCCAGCCAGCTTCCTCCACCCTTGGGTACCTCTTCCCCACGCACCCCCTTCACACCTTCTACAGGCACATTTTTCCCATTCCCAAGACCACGAGGCTTACCTGCACCTTGCCACCTTTCTGTCCAAATTCTGCCAGCCTTTAAAGGCCCAGCTTCTAGAGGAATTCAGCCCTCACTGTTCCAAGACCCCATTGGCCTCCTCCCTGTCTACAACACACTTGAGGCCTGCCACCCAGGTAGCTCTGTATTATAAGAGGTCATTTCCCAGACCCTCCCCACTCTCCCACTCTCCTCCCTACGACAGACTTTCGTCCCATAGGTAGCATCTCTCCTACTTTGTCCAGCAGATCGAGTGCACCCTCAAGCCAAGACCAAGGGCTCTCCTTGACTAGCCTTTTCTCTCCAGACTGGACACAGGGCACCATAACCATCCTGGTCTGTGTGACTGAAATCTTCCCATTTGGGATCTACCCTCTGCCGTTTATCCAATCCTTTCTAAGACTTGATTACATTTTCTCTTGTACCTGGGTTCTGCTGTCAACACGGAAGCTCCTTTCACTGCCTCCCTTCAGCTCCTGTGTGACTCCGTTGACACAGCCATGGCTGGTTGCTCAGGGTGTGCACTGCACAAGTCCAGGCCACTCTCACTAGACTACAGTGCAATGACCTTGGAGTCAGGCACTAGGGTGGCTCTGAGGCCCAAACCTCTATCTCTAGTCAATGGCCCCCTTGGCCAGATTTAGACAGAACACCTCATAGGCCACAGAGCAGACTCTTTCATTCACAGGCCAGATTCTCACAGCCTTCACCCTTCCTCAGTTCTAATGTCACCCCCAGGGTGAAGGCTTGATCATTTCTGACTATCAGTCTGTCCATCCACAGTAGATGGTCCTGAATAGCCACCCCTGTCTGTGTTACATCCCCTCCTTGGACCTCAGTTTCTCTAGCCGTAAAGAGAAGGACCTGGGCTCCTGTCTCCGAGGACTCACTCTGTTATAAAGCTCACCAGTCCATCCTCACAGACTTCAATCTCCATGCTGCCTGCTGTCTTCAAGTCAGCAAGCTTAGAAGGCTTAGGAAGAGAAGGGACTTTTACAAAATGCAAAGGAGCCTGAAAGAGCTCAGAAGAAGAGGAGTAATCCGATTTTGCTAGGGTCGATCCCAAAGGCTCCTTGGGGTGGCAGCTGAGCATGGGAGAGATGAACTTGGGCTATTGGACCCACGGAGGAGAAGGAGGTCTGTGCTGCCCTGAGGGAAAGGTCCGAGCATGAAATTGCAGCAGGAAAGACAAGATGTTAGAATAGCACGAGGCACTGGTGCTCAGGGCAGAGCAGTTCTTCACCTGTCACAGGAACAAATTCCCACAGACTCTCGGTCTAGAGACCAAGCGACCCACAGACCAAGGTGGAGGGGCTGGAACCTCTGAGGGTAGCAATGGAGAAAATCCATCATTAGAAGTCCTTACAGTCTGGCCCGACATCCAGGCTCTGCCCAGACCCCCTGGGCCACCTGGAGGGAGCTATTTCTTTGAGTTTCTGTTTGCAGATGTTTTCAAAAGGGAAGAGCAACACTTCCTGCCTCCCGGGATGGTGGTGCACATAGCCTGGTGCCTCATAAAAGCAGCAATTGTTAACTGCTGTTGTGTTGACAATGCTCGGGTAGGTGATGTGTGCAAGGGGTGCACATGAACTTGCACACGCGTGCACACAGGGAGCGAGGACAGTGGGTGGGACACACACCTGCCATGTTCTCTCGTGGGAGGAATGGGGGTGGGCAAGGACCCAGGGAGACCACTTTTTCCAGCCCGATGGGTGTCATCTCCTGGAGCCTCCCTTTGGAGAGGAAAAGGGAGGGAAGTGAGAAAGGGAATGTTTAGATGTGTTCCTCACTGGCTGTGTCACACACAACCAGCCCCACCCCGACAGGACTCCTGGGGACAGAACGGGAGTATATTCTCAGGCACCCAAAGCGCACACCCAGCATATGTATAGGAGCATCGGGACCCGGCCCAAGATCAGGGCAGCATGCGAGGGGTGGCAGTGGATTTATACACACACAGCCCAGCAGAATCCACTCCAAGTGTGTACAGAAGTGAACTCACACTCATTCCATCACTGCCACCACTGATGGAGAGAGGGTGGGGTTCATGTCAAACCATTGCTGAGTCCGAGGGGGTGCGATGGCACCTGCCAACGTCACAGGCTGGGTGTGAGTTCATGGGAGATTTACACATGCCAGCCTCGAAAGCGGCCCTGCTGCGACCAGGCTTGCTGCCACTCTCATTGCAGCGCCCTCCCAAGGCACCCTCGGGCGAGAGAGTGCGAACAGGAGCAACGTCTGGTCCACCTCCTCATCCCAGTGCCCAGCTCTGGGCCTGGCACAAAGCAGATGTTGGTGAATGAACGTCTGGCTGAATGAATGAACAAATGACTAACGCCCACTCCCTCACACCCCGGACTACACGGCCTGGGTCTGGGGGAGGGCAGAACCCTGGGGACCGCAGAAGAGCACCGCCCCCCCGCCCCCCCCCCCCACTTCAGACCTTGGCCCCTGAGGCTCTGCTTCCCAGGGTCCGGGAGGGGGAGGGGGCGGGACGGCTCACTAGCCGGTGCGGAGCAGAGCACCCCTCCTTCCCCAGAAGAAATCTGGGTCTCCTGCCTGAGCTGGGGGCGGGGGATTGTCGCGTCCTGGATAGCGAGAGAGGCAGGACAAGGGGGCGCGTCCTGGTTGGCGCTGGGGGTGGTGGGGGGGGGGGGGGCGCGGGATGGAGCGGCAGCCGTGGGACCTCGCCTTCGGTCCCCGCGTCCGGGTATGCCCAGGGTCTCGGGAAGGTGGCGATCGTTCCCCTCCGCCGGGCCGGGCAGGGGCGCCGCGGACCTAGCCCTTTCCAGAGGGGCGGTGGCGAGGGTACGCGGTGTCCCACGAGGTGACCGGGGGCGCAGGAAGGACGCGGGGCGCGCGGAGCCCCCTCTCCACGCTCCCAGGGGGCCGGCCGCGCCGCCGCCCGCTTAGCCCGCCCAGAACCTCCGCCCACCTGTGCCGGGGGCTCACCTGGACCGGCGGCCCCCCCACCTCGAGCCGCGTGAGTCCCTCCCCCCGCCGGCGGCCCGGCCCTCCCGGCGCCCGCCCTCACCTGCAGCTCCAACACGCTCCGCTCCGAGCCCCGGACGGGCGCGGAGACGCGGAGACACTGCGGTCCGGGCGGAGATGGGCACGCGGACCGGGAGTCGGGGGCGAGAGCCACGGAGACTGGGAGCTAGAGACACCTCTGGGGCCGGAACACCGACGGGAGAAGGGGAGAGAAATTCGGAGCAGACTCGAGACCCTGGCACCTGGAGAGTGACAGAGAGCAGAGAGGAGAGACAGAAAGGAAGAAGGGAACTGGGGAGGCTCCCGGGAAGCCAAGAGGGAGGTGGCTCCAGGGATGGGAGGCGAGATGGACCCTCCATCAGCCCCCACTCCATGGAATCATTTTCTAGGATCCAGAACCTGGATATGAACTAGCCTCAGAGCTGGAGAGATTTCTGTACCCTTAGCTCTAAAGGAAGGTGTAAAAACACAAGAAGCAGAGCCCCCCTGGGATTCCAGGCTGGAGCAGTTTGGGAAGGCCAGGAGCCTAGGGGTGAGCAATAGCCCCCTTTCCCGTTTCCCAAATCTGGGGGAGAGACATCCTGGTGAACAGGCCCAGCAGAGGCTGGGGAGGTTGGTGTTATGGCTTCTGCCTGGTAGTGGCCAGGGATTCACAGTCCAGCCCCAACAGGGGATGACAGAAGGCCAGTTGTTTCGGTGGCACCTAGGGGGTAGCCAGATGGGAGGCCCAGGGGAGAGAGCTGTCTTATCCCTAGCCCAGGGCTGGGCCAGATCCATGGGCCCAACAGATGGCTGACCAGGCTCTGGCAGCTCCCGACACCCCCACAGCCGGCTGCCTGGCTCTCTGCTGCTGGAGACGGCTAGGGGGTATCTGCTCTCAGGTGAATTTTCAACCTCCCCCCAAGCCAAGGTCCCTTAAGAAGATGCTGTCTGCTTCCTTCCGAGGAAATGGAAAGGGCTAAAACCCAGTTGCAACCTGTAGCCAAGCTCCCCACCCACCCTGTCCCATTCCTGCTGTCCAGGGAGAAGAATAATTCCATGCTCAGGCTAGCCATGGTCCCAACTCCAGGGTCCCATTAACCCATCTACAGAAACGGGGCACACATGGAGCTAAAAGGGTCCTCAGTGGGCATTTGGCCCAGCACTGACCCCTCACCCCTGGACTTTGTCTCCATCCACAGGATCCCCCTCAAGTGGCCCTTCAGCTGCTGGTTTATTACATCCAAGGACCAGGAGCTCAGTATCTCAAACAAAAGTTTTTCCACCTTTGGACACTGCTGATCGTGGTATGTTTCCCGTTATTTTAGCTGAAATCTGCACGTTGTATGACCCCACCCCCAGTGGGTCCTTCTGGGACCTCACTCAACCAAACCAAGGACAATCTGTCCAAACTCCCTAGTGTGGCTTCACCGAGAGGGACCAACCAGCCTGATTTGCCAGAGACCCCTGGTTTTAGCACTGAAAGTCACGTATCCCAAGAAGTCTCTCAGGCCCCAGAGTGCTGCTGGATCTTGGAACCAGACAGCAGTGCTGACCAATAGACAGAATTTCAGCAGCTCTGAGGTTGTAGCCAGAGCTCTTGGCCAGCATGCGCCATCCATCAGCAGCTGGGAGCATGTGAGTGAATCCCTGCAGCCTTTCCTCATTACTCAGGCATGGTGGGGGTAGACTTAGCTATGAGTGGGCAGGCAGTATGCTCAGGGTTTTACCTATATCATGTCATTTAACCCTCAGGCACTCTCTATATAATATCCTCGGATGTCTTGTATTATGCCCAGTTTACACATAAGGAAGGGCTTCCCTGGTGGCTCAGTGGTGAAGCATCCACCTGGATGACGTGGGTTTGATCCCTGGGTTGGGAAGATCCCCTGGAGAAGGAAATGGCAACCCACTCCAGTATTCTTGCTTGGAAAATGCCATGGACAGAGGAGCTTGACGGGCTACAGTCTATGATGTCTCAAAGAGTCGGACATGACTTAGGGACCAAGCACGTAACACACATAAGGAGAGGGAGGCCGAGAAATTGCGGTGCTTGGTTTAGAGCCTGTTTTTCTGTCCCTTGGGCTCGACTGTCTTCACCCTTCCCTGCAGGTGGGGCACAGTCAGAAACCTGACTGCTTGGACCATGTCCAGGTTTGGCCGCCTGCTCTGTGGGTGTGAGTTGTCACAGAGGAACAATAAAGTGGCCTCAGAGCTGACACACCTGGGCCTGAGCACCTCCCCCGGCCCTTGGCTCACAGCGGCAGCAGTGACCGCAGTCTGGCAGGGGCCCTGCTTCCAGGCAGCACCTCGCATGTGCGTGCGCGCACGTGTGTGTGTGTGTGTGTGTGTGTGTGTGTGTGTGTGTGAATGCATAGGCAAAGACATCATGCTCCCTGAGGTGGGCACTAAGACCCCTCCCACCACTCCAGGCAGTCACCACAAACCCTTGTGGGGGAGTGTGGCAGGTAAGGGGATGCCCCGAGTTGATGGGAATGCCAGAAATCATCTAGCCAGACCCTCCTCCATGCCCCCATTTCTCAGATGGGAAGGCAGTGGGCCAGAGGTGAAGGAGACTTGTCACATGACAACCCACTTCCAGGCTCCATTCATGGCTTCCCCACTTCCACCCTCCACCGCAGTCCCAGCCCCCATGTGAAGATCGGTGTTGCTGTGTGGCTCTGGAGTCCAACAGGGAATGTGGGGCCCTGGCCCCCCAGAGCAGCTCCCGACTGTGCTGGCTGTGACCTGCTGGCCCTGCCTTCAGACAGCAAAGGACACAAGGCCATTAGATTAACTGGTAGGAGTTAACTTCCTGAGTCAGAAGAATCGTCCTTAATTGAAGAAAGGAGTAACTAGCAATTTAGAGACGCTGACCTCGGCTGCCTGCAGAAGAGAGAAGCCCGAGTCAGTCGGGGCTCCCAGCTCTGCGACCGAGAGATGGTGTCAGAGTTCCAGACAGGATCC